CAGAATTCTGTTGGTAGGACAGCTACAGGGAGGTCAAGGGTAAGGTCATGGGAACATTGTCAGGCAACAGTGCAGCAATTGGAATGGCAGGGAAAAGGAAAGGCACGTTAATAACTTAAAGAAACAAATCACAGTCTTTAGAGGACAAGAAGAGATGAGCTCATGAAAGAATCAACTGGCAGCTTCCAGGGAGAGAGTTGCACTAGGTGTCTCCTCTTTTCCTGCTTCAGTGACTTTCACAAGCTTTGCGTTTTGTTCATTTAAAGAGGTGACTAACCAATGATTTGGTGGTGTTAGTCATGAAAGTATATCCCATATGACTCATAGCATTCTCAGACCTAGTCCCAAGAAACCCTGGCATGTTCTCCCTTGCCACACCTGGGCCTAAGAAAGACTATCTTGTTACGTGAGGCACTGCCATCAGGGCCACTGTGTTGCCAGGCAGGGGATCAGCTTACTGGGGCCACCCAGGCCAGCTTGCTCCTGATGAACAGGCTGGTTGGGTTACCCAATCTCAGGAACTGAGAATAGGAATTACAGAGCCTAATTCTCTCATTTTGTAGCTAAGGAAGTAGAAGTCCAGAGATGTAGAGTGACTTGTCTGAGGTGACACAATGATCAGAATCAAGGAAGGCCTCCTGACTCAGCGCCTGATGCTTTTTCTATCTCTGTGATAATTCAGTTATCAGGCTGCAGGGACGGGGGTGGGGTGAGGGGGAAGTTCCTAAATGAAGTGAACAGAACTCCGTGTCATCAGAAAGAAATCCCCATTGGAGCCAAATGAGAAATCAGCTTTAGGCCAGATTTAAGACAATAAATTTGCTCCCTTAGGACACTTTTTTGAGGGGGGCAAACTTTGTCTATCTTCTTCTGTTCTCAAGAGGCTTTACTTCACCTCCACTATGTTTTAATGCCTGTGTTGTCCTAAGTTGATGGAGGTATGGAACAGGACTATCCAAAGGCAGAATGAGTGAGAGCCTAAAAGATGGCCAGGGAAAATCTGAGTTTTTCTGTTACATGTACATCGCTCCAAAGCACTGGCTTTTTTGATATCAGAGGGTGGGGATAAATCCACAGATATTTCCAGAATTAAAGGTTTTGAACCCTGGGAAGCACTGGCAGCTTCTGAAGCGTTTCCTCCAGAAGATCTTCTGGCCCCGCCTTCCTGTCACTAGATTCTTTGCCCCTGGCTTCCTCTATTTTCACCATCCTTTTTCCTACCTATAAACATGTTTAGTATGTCTTCCTCCCTCATACGAGACTGCAAGCTCAGAGTCTCAGAGGCTATACTTTATTTGCTTCTAATATTCTACCAGGGAGCCCAGACATCCTGTGCCTAGCTCACCTACTCACCCAGCCATCTAGTTCTGAGCACTGACACGTGCCAGGCATCGCCACAGATGCTAGGAGTAAAGCAGGGAACAAAACAGAGTGTCTACTCTTATGGAGCTTACATTCCAGTGGGAGAAACAGATGACAATAATAACAAAACAAAATAATAAGAATGATTTACTGAGTGCATGCTATGTGCTACACATTGTACTGTTTAACACAAGCGGTCTCATTTAATCCTCACAACAACTCTACAAGGTGACGACTGTTTTTTATCCCTGCCTCATTGATGAGGAAACTGAATGATTAGAGACACTGTCGATTGCCTTGTCACATAGCTAGTTAAAGAAAAACCCGGGATTTGAACCCAGGTCTTTTTGATTCCTTAGCCTACAAGGTCAGCAAACTACAGCTTGCCACCATAGTTTCCAGTGAAATAAAACTTTATTGGAACACAGCCATACTCATTCCTTTATATATTGTCTATAACTGTTTCTGCTCTACAATGGCATAAATGAGTAGTTGTGACAGAGGCCACAGGGCCCCCAAAGCCTAAAATACTTACTATCTGGCCTTTTACAGAAAAAATTTGCCAGCTCATCTTAGCCTAAGCTGAGCTCAAGTGATGTTCACCGAAGGTATAAATAACCTAAAAACTCCATTCATTTATGCATATATTTGTTCATTCTATTAACATTTTTTTGAGCACCTGCTCAAACATGTGTCAGGTGGTTTGCTTCCTGGGAAGGTGGGGCTCCATTTGTACTCGGTTTCCTTCCATTATTTGATCTTTCCAAAGAGTTCATACACCTGCAGTTCCTGTTAAAAGCTAAATCTGGTGCCTAATCCCCATTTTCTCTGCCTCGTCTCTAGCTCAGACAAGAAAATCTATTTATTACTTTAAACACTGACAAAAGAGATTAATCAGGATTTGGCAACTAAATTTATCATTTGGGGAGAGTCCAAGAGATAAATGGAAGCACCGTTCTTTACTCCTTACTTCACCCCCTCCTCTCAGCCTGGCTTTATGGGAATGGCTGAGATGGTGCTGAAATGTAGCACCAATATTGCTAGGAAGAAACCACACTGACAGTTAAATTAGTTTGGCAGGAAAGTGGTGCGGAGGGCTCTAAGCCAGGAATGAATTATGGGTACTGAGTGAGGCCAGGGCAACTGGCTCTCTTAAGATCAGCAGGGACATGTGAATGAGGAGAAAGATGCAGGTAATTCTAAGGCCTCTACAGAATGCCTCGGGGAGGGGGAGGCAGGAAGGCTCCACGTCAGGCCCAGGTACCCTACCTACCCTGTAGCTCATACTCCTGATAAGGCTGGGAAACTGCATTCTAGGGAAGGAAGGCTGGTGAGATGGAGAGCAGGGGCAAAGCAGTCGAGGATGGTTGGCACAAATGCATGCAGATCGGGGAGGAGCTCACACCCTTGTTCGTGGCCTTGAAATTTGCTGATTTGGTGAGAGACCTGGCTACGTTCCTCCTGCTGTGCTGACCAGGACTTGGGTGATTACCTGGGATGGCTTTCTCTCCCAGTCCTCAAGTATTAGCTGCGTAAGTGTTAGGACTCTTGCTGGAGGGGAAAGGGGACAGAGGAGGAGGACAAAGAAGAAAAGCCAGAGTTAACTGTGCCTCTGCAGAGCCCTTGGGGTCCATGGAGCACATAATTGATCTGGCAGTAAAGAGATATTGAGCCTTGGCTCAGTGCAAGGCTCACGGGGGGGTGTATTAAGAAGCACAAGACATTGTACTGTGGTTAATCCACTCAATAATTCTACGAGGTAGCTATTACTATCCTCGTTTTATAAATGAGGAATCTGAAGGCCAGAGAGGTTAAATATTTTACGTCCAAGGCCACAGAGTCAAGGAGTGACAAATAGGATCTGAGCTCCCAGGTCTATGCTGCTTCTCGGGAGGAGGGTCTGCACATTAATATTATGCAGTGACATTTGATTTAGAAAAGTATACTGTTAAGAGCTCCTCCTAAGGGCCAAGTAACCATATATTTTTGTCCTTTAATCAAATCGGAAAGCTTTTTGATTTGTGTCTGTGGTGCTCTCACTGGGTTGTATTAGACCAGTCCCCCTTATCCCACTTTTGGTCCAGTGAGGTGCAGACCATGCAATCCTGACGTGTGGTGTTAGGAAGCAAGGTCCTAGGCTCACAACAAAGATGTGTTAAATTTGCTTGGACATGTGGACAGTAGTACAGACTTCAGGTCTGCCCTGGCATCATCACCTCTTTCGACACAGTGAGAGAGAGATGTACACTCAGAGCTAAGGCAAACACTGCAGAGATCGTGAGTGAGGCAGGCTAGTGGTTTGCCAAAGCTCATCTCTGTTTACGTTGTTAACCAAAGTGGTTCTACCCTCACGGTCCTGCCCAAAGCTACAGGATTGCTCATTAATTTGGAAGAGCTTGGCTTCTAGAAGCAAAGAGGGAGCCACATCCACTTCCATGTGGATGAGCAGAGCCTGTAGTTTTCATGCCCAGTAAGGAGCATGAGGTTTGGTTCCAACTACATGCTTACTGTCCTCAGTGTTTCAGAGCAGGTGGGTGTACGCTGCTCCATGCACCTGGAGGAAACGACTTTCCTGATCCTTCTGACCTGATCGTAAGATTGCCGTTGCCTTCCACCAGGGCCCATGTGAAGAAGCCACTTTCCCTCCCTGCCCACACTTTGCCTCCTCTGTACTACTTGATCCTGTTTCTTGCCCTTTTCCCTCCCTATTTCCTCATTTTTCTTCTCAAGAGAAATTTTTGCTCTTTTTACCTGATGTAAAGGTATTGGCATACTCTTCAGAACAGGAAGTGAAAATAATTCTATGTCCATCCTTCCTTCCTTCCTTTCCTCCTTCTCTCTTCTTTTCTTCCTTCCTTCCTTCTTCCTTCCTTCTTTCCTTCCTTCCTTCTTCCCTCCTCTTTCCTTTCTTTGGGCTTTTCCCAAGCAGTTCAGGATCTAGAAGTAAATCTCAAAGCCTTATGGGACAATCTATATGACTGGTGATGGCCTCATCCCAGTCTGTGCTGTCTCCAAGATTTTAGGAGGTGGGTAGAGCTGGTACAGCTGTCTCTTCCTCAGCTCTAGGATTCCCTGGCATGACCTTCTCACCCACGACCCCACCCTCTACAAGGTAACATTAAGGTTTTGCTTATGTCAACATTAGATCTTTCTCATAAAAAAATTAAGGATGCCTTTTACGGAGAGTTCCTGAATCTCTGAGGCAATATTTTTAGAGTGAATTTGGCTCAGAGACACAAAACCCTGGGGAAGCTTTGAAGCTCCTATTCACTGACCCTCTTATAAGATGGTTGTGAGCACAGAGGTTCTTTTTCATCCTCAAGTGGTGCTGGATGAGATAGGATTCATTCCATGCGGCGGTGTGCTCTCCACAGAACATAATGCCCACAGTAACGAGTTTATCACGGACCTGATTCATCAGCACACCGACGTTTCCTGCTTGCATTTAAAATCCTCAGTATTTCCCAGCTCATCTTTCAGTGTCATGCTTTGGCATTTCCCAAGTACATTAGGCCACTGGAGTCTATTTCAATCCCCTTCTAAAAGCAGCAACACAGTCCTCTCCAAAAATGTTCACGGTGGCCACATCACAGGTAAAAGAAAAAAAAAAAATGCACTCGATTCATTATGTATTCCAGATCCCTTTGTGGATGACCAATTCAAGATGAAGTATTCACACTTCTTGGAGGAAAGAAGCGCACTCTTGCAATTCTACTGAGGGGGTGAGCAGAGAAAGCATATGGAAATACAGAGGTAAGGTTGTATTTAGGAAGAATTCCTTGCCTATAAGAGTTAAGAGCTTCCAAAATAGAGCATCTGAGAGACTACAGTCCCTCTCTCCTACCCTTTCCAATAGGCCTTAGTGGCTGAGGGAGGTGTGTTCAGCCTCACCTGGTTATTTCTTCTTTCAGAGCAGCAGGGTCTGCAGGGTAAAACTTCACACGGAAACACATGGTGAATGGAGGCTGGGCTGCAAAGAAAAAGAGGTGCCCATCAGAGAAGACCCTCTAGCTCAGAGATAACTGGGTTCCACTCCCCACCAGGACACATAGGCCTCTGAACCCTCAGAAGAAAATCCTCAGATGTTTAGGGCAACTTATACTCAGAACAGTGGAAAATCACCCAGAGTTACTACATGCAGGAGGCTTCATCCCACCCTCCCCGGGGTGGGGCTTGAATCTTTCCTTTGAGAAGACTTACATCTCAATTGCTTCACCACAGACTTTGTAAACTCCAACCAATGCTGAAACAGAGAACAAGAAAACCCTGATGAGAAGCAGTGTCAAATATAACTTGTTTTATATAGTTTAAAAAACCAGACAGATTGTAGCCCAGGGTGAAAGCAGCCTAAAAGCTTATGATATGTAGGCTGGGAGAGTAAAGAGTGATACTATTTTCTGAAATAAACTCCCCAGGGAACCAGCTGTGAAGGAGAGAAGAGTTCCAGCATCGGATGCCATTTCTGGGCCTCCCTGGCAAGGCCGCCTTCCAAAGTAGAGTGCCAGAGTTCTGAGCCATGTTTCTGGCATACCAGCGGGCACAAGCAAATGCACGTACGTGTGATGGGCACGAAGTCCCGTCTGGCTTGAGGAGGGAAATACTGACTTTAATGGGTTGTGTGTGTTTGTGCTATGTGCCAACTTTTTTTTTTTTTTCTTTTTGGCAGGGGTGTGGAGACAGAGGCTATTGGTAGCAGCTCTAAGAAGTACTGACAGGTAGAATTTCATAGATGGTGAGAAGGCAGGGATGGCTGGAATGTATTCCATCTCTGAGTAACATAGATTGCCAACCCCTGTGCTAGGGATACGAGCTCAGAATTGCTTGGCATCCAGGGATGTTTAAAGTCTGTCTCATAAGATAACTAACCACAACCGATGTGTAGGATAGTATTTTGTCACCCTTGGATTTTCATAGAGGTAGGACTTAGTAGCAATGCATTTTTCCAATGGGGGAAGGAAGCAAGGAGACCATTCTATATGTTTTCCAGTTCTACATGTTGCTTTATAAAATGCATTATTGACGTTTGCTACTTTTATGCTAATCAGGAACCGTGACAATTTGCAGAAAACTAGAACTACTGTTATTTGGGGTTTGGTCATCTGGGGTAGCTTAAAACCATTAGTCATAAGCTCTATGAGGGCAGAAAACTGTCGTGCTTACATCGCATCGCCCGTATCTAGCAGCGTTCAATGTGCAGCTATTGAAAGGACAAAGGAACTGGGTCTACACCTACCTCTTTTCCGGTTACTTCCATTTAGTGTAACATCTTGGCAGAGTCTTCCCTTTCTCAGGAAAGCAGCCAGGGCCACGCAGACAGCATCCTGGCCTCCCTTGATTCCCAGCTCTCACCTTCTGGGCTGGGCTGTTGGGTCATGCAGTTAATGGACCCACTAAGAGCCAGTTCTTCCGTCAGCTCCACATGGATAATCTAAGCTGACATTCTGCTCTCTTGCTTCCTCTGATCTGAGTTCCCATGAGGCTGGCAACTCATTATAGCCACTCAATGTGGTTAAGAGGTCCTTCTCACATTACATGGCCCACTGCGGCTCGCTTCACAGGGAAGCAAAGACAAGAAATGAAATTGCATGGAAACAACTGGGTTTCCAGGCTGTGCTGGTGAAGGCAGAGGAGGCCTGTCTGTTCGGCATACACCGGAACTTCGTACAGGGAGGAGAACTCAGCAAGTGTCTGGGACTCAGTAAACAGAACACCTCAGACATTCCACTGATAGACTAAAATAAATAAAGAAAGATAGAAAATAAGAGGAATGACTTGTGGGATCCATTATCAGCAGAAGGAAGACGGAGCTGAATGACAAAAAAAAAAAAAAAAAAATACTATTCCCCTTGGCAAGAGCTGGAGAGGGCCTTTAGTTTGTACTGGAGTAGAGCTGAAGAAAGGAGTGAGGCTGGAGATTAGGAGGCAGGTGGAAAGGGAGTGGAAAGCTACCATAGCTTGTCCAAGAGATTTTAAAGGTCTGGTAGATAAATTTTGACAGGATCCCAAGAATACGGTGGTGGCCAGAGTTACCTCTTGCATCTGTCTGGCTAAATCTTGGATCCAGAGGATCACTAGCAAACTGCTAACCAGGTTTTGGAGAGGAGAGGTCAGGAGAAGTGGAAAAGGAGATTTGGAACAAGGTGTTTGATCCTATATTTGGGTCAATGGGCCAATGTGATGCAATATTCAGAGGCTTGAAAGGGTACCTCCACCTTGAAAGGAGAGGCTGAGAGCAGGCTGGGGCCCTGGGCCTGAGCCAGGAACAGGGGAGAGTGTGAGTGATGGCAGCATCTCCAGGAAGGACTAGGAGAGTGCCCAGACCCCCTGGAGACCGCTGCAGAACAAGAAGTGATGGGATGGATGTAAGTGCTGGGCTCAGACTGCCTGATGCCCCAGGGATGGAGCAGAACCTCACACGCTGGGGCATCAGGGGAGCTGGGGAGCGTACTTCCTCCATCTTTACCATGAATCAGTAGATCTAGGATGACAATTCTTTACAGGTCCATTCCCCCACAACTCTCAAGCCTCCCTGCTCTCCTGAACTCCTCAATAAAGGCACAGAATCACAGAGCTTTAGAGGCTCTCAAGTATGAATTCAATGTGGAACCTTAGAAACCATGTGGTCTCTGTGTCAGGCAGGACTGAGCCGGAGACAGGTTTTGCCACCTGCCTTGAGCAAGGTGAGACTTTATTTATTCATCTGGAGAATGGATAACGTAGTTGTGGGTACTCATCTCATATGTGGTGATGATTAAATAACATATGTGAAGCTCTTAGCTTAGTGCTTGATACAACTTGGCTGAAAGATTTAGGTTTGTGCTCAGTGCAGAGCCCAGCACACAGCAGCCACTCCACAAATGTTTATTTCTCCTTTTTCCCATTTCCTTATTTTTCTGTCTCCTTTTGCTTTTAATCTCTCTTATTCTCCCCAAGCACATTCTGACCTAACTTAAAAATAATGAAGAAGTCACATTTTGCTCTGTTTTCTTCATATGCCACTCTATTTGGGAGATGAAGAGACAGACCTTGGGGTAACTGGCCTTCCTTCTTAAGGAGAGACAGTTAGGACCAAAAATAAAATAAAATTAAATTAAATTAAACAAATAAATAACAAAACCCTTTGTAAAAATAGTCCATCATCATATAGTGAATGGACACCTACAGCATGTGACGACATAAAGCTCCTGGTGTAATGGCACTTTTTGGAGTCTCATACTATGGTCCAGAGCTAAGGACAGTATTTATGTCATGACAGTGAAGCCTTTACAGGGTGAGGAGGGGCTGACCTCGACACTACTCCCCCAAAAATGATGATGCTCAAAATTCTGCTGAGCCAAGAGGAATGAAATATGTCTGCAGAAGTGGGACAGGGCTTGTCAAAGGAAAGGAATACAGTTCTTCTGATTCTTTTCTAAGGCTCATATGTTTAGCATAAAACCCTAAATGGGATCTAGAGACACAGTGGCTCTGAGCATTAAAGAACGAACCAGCACTTGACTCTGGCTTGGTGAGGGAGTATCCATTCATTCATTATCTGTGGTCCTGGGCACTGTTGGGAGGCTATACCCTCTGGAGCTCCCTCCAAGTATCCCTGGTAGTGACTGAGATGAAGCCCATATTTAAAGTTGTGAAGAAAATTAGTGGACTCATGAAAGGGGGCCCTCTGGGATTCATGGTGATCATGTTTTTGAAGAGTGGTAGACAAGAGTGGTTGATGGGCAGGGGTGTAGGAAAGGGAGACATTGGGGCCTGAATACTTCTGCATGCTTTCCCACTTCAATGGCGATGCCAGCGAGTACATCCCCATGGAGAGCAAAGGGCTGATGGACAGAAGTAGACACTGCAGGTGTCTGTTAACAGGCCAGCTGGCCAAATGGAGGGGAGAAATATGGCACCACTAACCATTAACATCCATTCATCACTCCTTCAGCAAAGATTTATTAAACATCCATTATATTCTAGATGCCTTGCTAGTTCCATGGGATGCAGTGATGAATGATATAAAGTCTGTGCCCTCATGGGACTTATATTTTGCAGGGGACAGAGGCAATCATAACATGGTTTAATAAGTGCTATGAAAAGGGTGGTACAGGGCACATGGGGCACAGAGGAGGGCCCCTCATTCAGAGTGGAGGTTAGAGAAGACTTCTGGAAGAAGTAAAAGTCTAAGCTAAGACCTGACGTGTGAGAAGGAGTTAGCCAGAAGAATTGTGTAGAGTGTGGAGAAGTGAGGAAAGGGAGAAGAAATATTCCAGGCAAGGGGAAGGCTCTGAAAAGAAAGAAGGATGACATGTTTGACATGTCTGGAAGCCACGGTATTGTTTGGCTGGGCCACAGCAGGGGAGACAGGTCAGGGGAGGTAAAGCTGGAGAGGCAGGCAGGGGTTTAGGGATAATGAACGTGTTCTTATATCTGTCAGGAATATCATAGTCCTTGCCAATGCCCTGTGTCTGTAGAGCCACCGTGTTGTGTAGAGCAGAATAAGAGTTACAGATCTGAAACGCCCATATCAATTCAGCTGTATGTCTCTCCTGCCCAGATTGGGTTGGTGTGGCCCTTCAGGTGAGGCCCTTCCTAATCAGACAATGTGGTTCAGCCCATATACTAGAAAGGGGGCAGGAAAGGCTCAGTCTGTGACCTGGGCTCTGAGACCACAGCACTAGCCCAGCTGCTCTGCCTGCATCTGGGCCACTTTGGGCAAATCACTCCAGCTCTCTAGGCTGCCATTTCAGCATCTATAAAACAAAGAGCTCTGCTAAGGTGTCTTTCAGGTCTCATAATATGATTTGAAGAGATGATACTCAGCTGCAGGGTCTGGTTGGTCCCTGACTCCTGAGGCTAAACTCTGAATATGAGTGACAGTTCAAAGCTTCAGGCTTCTTGATCAACCCTTTCCATTTGTACTTTGAATACTGACTTACCCGCTGCTTATCTGGGTCCACAAAGCGGATTCCAAAATAGTCTTTCTCTAGTAGGTTCAAGTGGTGGCAAAGAAGGTCAAACAGGTACTGGCCTTTGGCATCTCTCTGCAAAGAAGGAAAGCTCCATTGAGAAATGAGAGGGCTTCTTCAGTGGAACTTTGTTTTGATGGTCATTGAAAATCATAATAGTTGCACGACGATATGAAAGGGACACATGTCCAAAACTATGTCCTTCATGTTTCAAGATACTTTAGACATTCTCTGGAATTCTGAGGCTTTTGGTACCTGGAAGGAGCCCAAGAACCCTTCCATCCACAAAAATGTCAGCGAGGTCAGAGCAGTTAGGTGAGCCCAGTTACGACATCTAATGCAAAAAGCTTTCCTAAGGTGTGTCAGCTTGGGAGTAGGGAATGTCAGTGGAATATACCAAGTCCAAGTCCAGCTGGCTCTGCCTCTAAAGTATATCTTGAATCCATTCACTTCTCTTCATCCCCATTGCCAAACCCACAGGTCAAGCCACCACCGTCTCTCAACTGGACCACGGCCAGAGCCTTCTAACTGGTTCTTTGCTTCTGCTCTTGTCCTTTCTCCACACAGTAACCACGGTGACCACTATTTCGACATGTCTTTTTTTTACAGAATAAGTCATACAGGCACTTAGTAAGATACTCAAACATGCCAAAGGATAAACTATGAAGAATAAGTCTCTCTTCTATCCTAGTCGCCCTGTGCCTCAGTTCTCCTCCCCAGAAGCAACCCTTTACCAGCTTCTTGTGTATCCTTAATGTGGTATTTTATACACGGGCAAGCC